AGAGAGGGAAAAGACGTTTCGCGAGGTCATTTTTATTTTCACCGGCTCTCGAGCGCACGGCAGATGACGTGAAAGGAAACCTTTGACCTGGAAAAGAATTTGCGGCCTTTTTCCCTGCCGTTCCTTTTCTCTTTCGCTCTTTCATTCGTCTCCTTCCACGACTCTCTTTTCTCTCTTTCTCTCCGTCGATCTCTTTATTCCTCTCTCTCTCTCTCTCACTCTCTCTTCTCTCCGCTCCATGCGCCGCATTTTTTTGCCGCGTAACGTAACGATGAACGCTGGCATAATTCCATTAGCATTTGAAGGTAATGTGAAAGCACTAATTAAGCTAATTAGGAGTGTTTCAGCGCTTCGCTATGGTTCAAAAGAAGCGTACGCGAGAATGTAGCGAGCATAGTTGGGGCAGAAAAAAAAAAAAGAAAAAAGAAAGAAAAAAAAAAAAAAGGATAATTTCGAAAGGTGTAACTGAAACGGGAAGAGACTGTAAACTACCTACCTCTAGGAATAAATGACAGCGAACATTCGTTTAATGAATTAGAATCGCGCGAATCAACCGGGGAAAATCGGGGAAATTTGCGTCAAAGCAAGGTGAAATTGCAATGGCATACGCGTAGAAAGAAAATATCTTTTTCACAAAGGTGAGACGTGATATCTTCTTTTCGAGAACGAATTCGTTTGAATCTCCATATTTCCTTGAATCTCCACGGAATTCCATGGCTACGTGTCTCGATGTCGTTGGTCAAAAAAAGAAAAACGTGCATTTCCTATCGGATTCTTATTGTATTCTTCTCGAACGAACGCGTTCTTACGCTCCTTCAAATATATCGATAAGAATTCGATGAATAAGAAGAAACAGAGGAGCTCTCTTTCTCTCTCTCTCTCTCTCTCTCTCTCTGGCTATGAATTCTCTGTTTATTTACAAAGGTCAAAAAAAAAAAAAAAGAATAATGATTTAATTGTTATTAATTCGATGACGTAGCAATAAAAAAGATAGAAATTGATTACTTTTTTTTTTTATTTAAAAAATTCTTCAAATTTATCTACCGCGTGAATTTTAATCAAAAAGAAGGACGAAATATTGTAGAAATCAAAAAGAGGAAATATTTTTACAAAATATTCGATATCGCAAATATGTTTCTAAAAAACAATTTATGGAAAATCAAATTCCATCGAATCGAGCATCGTTACGAACGGAAAACAATAGAATCGAACTGTGCGGAAAAATTGAAGAGTAGAAGAAAATTTCGAAAACAAAAAAAAAAAAAAAAAAAAAAAATAACTCTCGGAAATTGGGGGATCATTATCGCGATTAACCTGGTGTATTATTTGGATCAAGATTAATATCAGTCCTGACCGATTCGCATATCCTGCCAGTAATAACGGGTTGATGTAATCGTCCACGGTGTGGTGTATCGAGGCCGGATGACCACGATGAAATATTGAGCTGTCAAGTGCGTGCGAGAGGTGTATGATACTTGAGCGCGGTAGAAACTCGGCGAACGTATCAGACGATCGTTTCATTAATGAGTGATCAATAGCCGGGGCCAAAGCGTAATCGTGCCGACTGTTGCTTAAACCGCAGCGTCGGCTATCGGCTCCTATATATACCCTATTGCGTATAATTTATTATTATCGTTATCCCCCGTCGCTCGAAATTCATTAGGCACTAATTAACCGGTTGGGACTCGTTATTAATCGTATTATCGAATTTTCAAGGCTCGTCAACGAGTGGCCCGTGCCCTCAGCTTTATCAACTATATTATATATCCATCGATATTCGATCGTTTTTATTCTCTCTTCTCTCGGCCAAATATTTTTTTAACGCAAATATCCATTTATCTCTCGTAACAATTTTCGATTAAGATTTTGGAAAGGATAGATATTTTCTCTTCTCTCAAATCTTTCTTAACGCAAATATCCATTGTCCATTTATCTTTGATCGTTTCCCACCGATTTTCGATTAAGATTTTGAAAAGGATAAAAGATTTTTCCACGCCTCGTCGTAGACTCGAGAAATTTTCCTTCGCAAATCTCAGATCTTTCTTCCGTCGACTAATCGAAAAGCGGAGAAATCGCACACAACTCGTCGAAGACGAACTGAGGGGGAAACAGAGTAGGAAAGCTGACGTATGAAGTGTAGTAAAAAGAGCGTGCACTCGAGAAAAGCTTGGAGCTAGAAACTGTTCCTCCGAAAAAGAGGATGGAATCTTTTCGATCAGCGACACGAGCCGGTGAAACGGATCACCGCCAGTTCACCGGCGATTCAGCGGGGGNNGTATCGGGTGAGGGATCGGTGGGCGCGGCACCGAAGACACGAGTAAGAGTCACCCATACACGACGGGACACGCTCGCAGTTACCATTTCTCACCAGGTGGTGAAAAATCACTGTGAAACGGCGTTTCATGGCCGTTCTTCACGATCCTTGTATCGCGATCCTTGAAAAATGAGCCGTGAAAATGGAGCGGAAAGGGAGGATTCTGCGCACCAACCCGTGATTAATTTTTTTTCCTTTGTCTTTCTTATCTGCCCGAATGAGCCCGCCTCGGGTCTCGAGCCGCCGCTTCGTTACCAGCCAACCGACCAACGGAAGGGAAACTCTACTTACCCTCCTCTGGAGAAACCACGTCTCTCCGGCTAACTTTGTTTTCGTACAGGCTAATTAATTTAGTTCCTTCCGCTAGGAAAGGGACGACGATGTTGTTCAAGGAGGAAACGTTACGTCAAATGCCGGTGTTTGATTATGGCAGTTTAAGAGGAGTAGTGAGAACGTTCTTTCCTTGATATGGAAGAGAGATTTGTTGGATTGCTTTTCTTTCTTTTTTTTTTTTTTTTTCTTTTATACGTGTTGATCTTCCGAAATAGAAAATTATCCTTCAAGATCGTAAAATTTAATTTCAAAAGTTCCAAAGACTTTTCTTTTTTTTTTTTTTTTTTTTTTTTTTTTTTTTTTGAAGTTTCGAATATATTTCGTTAATCGATATAACTTCGTACAAGCGTACAAGAAACCTTGCATAAATCTTTGTATCGCGCTAACCGTTATCTTCGATGCAAACATCTGTCCCGTCTCGCCATCGATTAAGATGGCGGTTTCTCCATCGCTCGCACACAGCCAGGATCAACCGCAGGACTAAAACAACATTCGGTCGCCATAATTTACTTGTAGTACACGTCCCGCCCGTTTTCCATCCTTCGCATCCACCGCACGTAAGCAAACTCCCCTAAGCATCGACAGTGAATTTCCAAGAATCCGTGATTTTGTACACGTCCTCCTCGATCGGATAAGGATAGACAAATAATTTGAAAAAGATGCCAAAAGAATGTTGTCGGATTTATCAAATCCCTTTCTCCGTATGAAAATGAATTTTTTAATCCAACCCTGTCTTCAATCTTCGTTCTCAACAAATTTAAGATATCTTCAAATTCAAATTAAAATTCATCGTAAAGTTTTTACGAAAAAAACAATGCCAATCATTCCAAATCAATCTCCATCCATTCTTCATTTTTCTCCATAAATTTCCTCCGTAAAATTGCACCTCGATACATCCTTCGAAACATCTTAAAGCTGGACGAGATCGAAACCAATCGTCTGAACAGTTTGTCAAGGGACGTCGATCCGCATTCGGGATCGCGTGCATCTAACCGTGTCCGGGGACAAACACGCGACGCTTCGAAACCGTCGTAGGAGGAAGAGGGTGTCGTGCGCCCCAGCTGCGAACCGGGCTCTGCCTCCGTTCGCAAACTACGCGCGACCACATTTGCCGCATCTGTACATCCCACCCCCGCCCTTCTTCCCGGCGCTTTGGAGAGGGGTGTGGCGGAGAGGTGTCTGCAACTTTTCTTTAACCCGTTTAAAGGATTGTTGCGAGAAGGCAAACGTTCAAAGTGAAAACAATTGTTGGAGAAACGTGAACGATCGACGAGGGAGGGGGGGATTGGAGATACGATTTGATGGAGGATCTTGGAGGTTGATGTTGGAGAAGGATGAGAGGGATGAGAGAGATTTAATTAAAAGAAGAGTGAGAAGAGATGTATCAACGTTGTTATTCGAACTGGAATTATTATACGGGGGATTGCGCGGAGGAGTGTTTGTAAGATATTTGAAATAAAAAAAGAAAAAGTGATGAGGACTAATGGCACGTATATAGTTTTGATCGATTTCCTTCCCTAGAATTCGATCGGTTAAAATTAAAAAAAGAACGTTTTCTCGACGAAAATGATAAATAATTTATCCGCTATGAGACGGGTGCAAATCGATGGACGTGTTCATCTTTTAGCGAATGTTATACATCAAACACGAATAAATCACCTTATCGTCGATTCTCCGAGGCTGACGTTCGATTGAATAATACGATAGAAATGCGAGGATGGAAAAGAATTTCGCCGTGTATGAAACGTTT